GCTGGCTGGTATGGAAGGCTGGTTCCCCAAGTCCTATGTCAGTGCCATTGAATTGGATGCAGATGTTCAGGCCTCTTCTGATGAACATGGTGAGACTTATAAAGAAAATGATAATGCATTAATCATTGTTGAATATTTCTATGGTGATTTTCTGATATGCCCATGACCCATCTTAGGTTTACGTGATATTTTCCTCTCAAAACTTTTATTATTGTATTTCCAATGTGTCACGCAATTACTAGCCTGTCTGGTGTACATTATATTCATTCATTTCAAATCTAAGTTTATATAGTTTATGAGTGAAAGAATCTTGCTTCCACCTGGCCTCCTATGATCACGTGTGTAATGTACAAATTTGTGTGATGCTTCTGTGCAGAGTACTATGTAGCACTGTACCCATATCAATCTATGGAAGCTGGTGACCTCAGCTTTCAACAAGGGGAGGTAGTCATTGTGGTGAAGAGGGAAGGAGATTGGTGGACTGGTACTATAGGAGACAGGCTGGGCATCTTCCCATCCAATTATGTCCAAAAGGCTCAGACTGAGGTGAGTACAGGATTATCTGTCATAATGCCCATGTTTAAGAAGTCATGGCCATTACATACAAATTTCTAGATTAGTTCACACTGACTACATGGAACAGAGGCCTTCTTGAGAAGGTAATAGTCACATAGCTGGTTAAGAAATTCCGTGACTTTAGTGGAACCCAAAGGACAGTTACCATATAACTGTCTGCCACTGGTACATACTCTGAGCCACATGAATCTAATCCACACTCTCATATCCTATTTCTCTAAGATCCATTTTGAAATTATTCTCTTTTTTGTGCCTACGTCTCCCGATTGGTCTCTTCCTTTCTGGTTTTTTCAACCAAAATGTTGGTGCATTTTACGTATTTTTTATGTATTCTGCACGCCCTGTCCATCTGATCCTCCTTGATTTGGTTGCCCTAACATTATCTGAAGAAGAGTACGAATTATGAAGCTACGCATTATGTAAATTTCTACAACCTCCTGTCACTTCCTCTTTGGCCCAGATATTCTCCTCAACAGCCTGTTTTCAATAAACATCAAATCTGTGTTTCTTTATGTGAGAAACCAAGTTTTCACACCCATACAAATCGAAAGGTAGAATAATACAGATATACCATTTAAAACATAGCCCATCAACAGTCAGAAGCAGGTTCACCCCCACATAATATACTCTTCTGACCTTCCCTGTGACACTCAAGTCAAGGTCACCCTGATTGATAGGCTGTGTTGTTTCACATACCAAATACGCAGAAGATGTGCAGGTGAAAGCATGGTATGTTCGCACTCGGAACTTGTGTTCGTTCTCAAACAATGCTTTGCACTGAAATCATTTCCTGCTACTCATGACACATTTAGCAATGCATATCCTGACAAGGAAGTACACGATAAGGCAGTTGGTACCAGAGTTTTAGGACGCAGGAAGTTTTTGCCTGGGACAAATGCTTATTGAACTTCAAAATAGCCGATTTCTAGCAGTGCATGAGCTGAGACGTTGGGATATGGCTGCAAGACTTCTGTTGTCATTGGTTTTGACATTTTGTGCATTAAGGAGTTTGTGTGTTGTAGTTCTGGTTGCATTTTAAATGGTGCATCCTGCAGTTCTGTAAGAAGTAAATTAAAACTTTTACATTAATTATAATGACATTCCTGAAGTCAATATTTGTGTGTAACATGCTACAGCTTTTTGTTGTTGCATATGTGGACTCCATAGCCATTTATTATGATCGGGCTTTCCTAAATCAGAACCATATATTTGGTTCTACTTCCCTTTTAGTCTGTCACTAATGCCATTAACATAGGGAAGAACATGCATTGTTTTACAGAATAAAGTTTTGTACAGTTGTTGGTGGTGTAACTGCTGTAAATGTTGCACTAACATAAGATATATATGTGTGTGTGTGTGCAAGTATGTGGTGCGTTTGGGTGTGTTTCTTAGCCTGCAGTAGCAGTACCGGCTAGTAACATTGCACCCATTTCTGAGCAGCCAGTTGAAGTAGCAACAGCAGCCCCCATTTTTGCAGCAGCTCCTGTCCAGCAGGTGGCTCAGGTAAGGTCTCACCAGCCATAGTTTTTGACGTAAATACGTCTATAAGGAAGGGTCATTCGGCAAAAAAGTGTTACGAAAAAGGGAAACGAAAAAGTATAACTTCATTGTTATGTTACCTAGGAAACCTCATCAGTTTACTCAGCATTGTTGTTACCTAGGAAACGTCATCTGTTTACTCGTCATTATTGTTACCTAGGAAACGTCATCTTTTTACTCAGTATTATTGTTACCTAGGAAACGTTACATTACATTAAAATACATTACTTTACATTACATTCATCTACCACAGACCCATCTTAAGTGTAACTAATTCAAGTTAAGCATTCAAGCATTTTTGTTACCTAGGAAACGTCATCTGTTTACTCGGTATTGTTGTTACCTATAAAACATTATATTACCTTACGTTACATTACATTACATTACATTACCTTACCTTACCTTACCTTACCTTACCTTATATTACATTACATTACTTTACACTACATTCAGCTACCACAGACCCATTTTAAGCGTAACTAATTCAAGTTGATTAAGCAATGTCTTAATCAAACTT